CCTAGTAGCGATGCCCTTTGTAACTAGTAGCTTCTTGCTCCTAGTAGGAAGGCCAGGAGCCCCTAGTAGCGTCCTTCCTCCTAGTAGTAAGGCCAGGAGCTACTAGTAGCATCCTTGCTTCTAGTAGCGATGCCCTTTGTAACTAGTGGCTTCTTGCTCCTAGTAGTAAGGCCAGGAGGCCCTAGTAGCGTCCTTCCTCCTAGTAGTAAGGCCAGGAGCTACTAGTAGCATCCTCGCTCCTAGTAGCGATGCCCTTTGTTACTAGTAGCTTCTTGCTCCTAGTAGTAAGATGTAGTAAGGCCAGGAGCCCCTAGTAGCGTCCTTCCTCCTAGTAGTAAGGCGGCCAGGAGCTACTAGTAGCATCCTTGCTCCTAGTAGCAATGCCCTTTGTTACTAGTAGCTTCTTGCTCCTAGTAGTAAGGCCAGGAGCTACTAGTAGCATCCTCGCTCCTAGTAGCGATGCCCTTTGTAACTAGTAGCTTCTTGCTCCTAGTAGTATGGCCAGGAGGCCCTAGTAGCGTCCTTGTTGCTAGTAGTAAGGCCAGGAGCTACTAGTAGCATCGTTGCTCCTAGTAGCGATGCCCTTTGTTACTAGTAGCCTCTCTGAAGACATGGCTCTGGGTCATAGCTCTCTGAAGATCAAGCTCGCTACATGGTGGAGTGGTCGGGCTGCAGTTGTTTTTGTTTAACCAATCCCCACATCTCTTGAACACTTGGGAATCTGGTGCCTCCAAAGAGTAGAAGAACCTCGGAGAAACTTGGAGATGGTTGGACAGTCCTTCCAAATGATGCCATCTCCGAGTTCCCAAATTTGCAAAAAAAAACAAGTTGAGTCATATACTCATATACAGAGTCATGCATATGATTCTGTTGCGCTCGAACCTGAAGTATTGAAAGCACATCCCTGTCATTTTCTCTACTCAAGTGGTACTTTGGCTGGCAGGAGTCCTCTGTTGATTCTTTTGATGCCCATTCTCCACCGATGCTGCTGTTCTCTGGCAGCTGTCACGTGGTCAAACCGATTCGCTGCCGCGAACCCGATCGACACGACCGCGCCTGACTCCACTTTGGCTAAGGTTTCAGCCTCACACAGCGGGCGATACCAGGGCTCCTTCCATTGAAAGGTTGCGATACCAAGTCCTGATGGCAAGAAAGAATGGAACACATTAAAAGACATAAGGTTTCTATTCTTCTACAATGGGTTCATGTGCAGCTTCCATCATTGGCTGACGGAGAACTGGCCAGCATTTCCACAAACTGTTGGTCTCGGCAATGAGGGGGTCGCAGCGTTGCTGAGGATTAACGACCTTAACTTTATAATATTGCGGCTAATTACAGCAAACCCTGCACAAAACTACCCGACCAAGAAGCCTCTCCAAAACTACACGCTTCCTCAACACCTACTGCCCTGAAGATGACGACTCTTTGATGCTAGCTGCACCATCGAGAATCACAAGTCTTGGGCACTACGTACAATCATGAGTCAAGATGGTCGTATCTGCCATAATGTACATGGATTTAAAACTATATATATATATATCCTTGATTACGAAGAAGCCAACGGCCTGACAATAAGACCCTGAGCACCCTCACTGACTTGGATGCCACAGGGAAGAGACAGATGGGCCCCTTCACCGCTGTAACTCCTAGAGACAGACGGGCTATACACAGTTATATGTACCGCTACTTTCTCCTCCGAGCGGTCGATCTATATTTCAACCGCCAGTCCAACCGAAGCGGTCCAGGCAAACCACGTCTCCAAGGGACCACCTCTGACAGGCTCCCATCGAGGATCACATCCGCCTCGTCCAGTCGTCCTAAACCCGTGGCGGATGGCGGAGTCGAGACCGAGTGGCATTTGGAATGCCAAAGGGGTTCGGTGACCTGGTGAATGAGTGAGGTTTTCTTATTACCGTTTGATTGCCTTCTGCAAAGACTACATATTTTATGTAGTTTAATATTATCTAATCATTTCATATCTATGCATTAAGAATGCATGAAGAACAATAGTTAGGCCATCTTGTGCGTACCAAATCAGTGTTTGGGCAAGCGGCAAGTCCATGATCATGCCTAGGTAGGTACGCCTGCCAGCAAAGTATTGCCACCTACTCTTTAACTTCCATGTCACGCAGTTTACACATCGGCACTACCCAGCAGCAAACCAGTAAAGTTCATGAACTTTCAACATCTGCGAATGGAGTGTTGCAACCTCGACGCGCTTCGACACACTCTGCGGGGGGTCAGCATGACTCCAGAAGTTGGATTCCAAGAACAGGGATCTTTTTGGTGGACCTAGTGACCTAGTAATGTAG